AGCAGACTGTAGATCAACAGGCACAGCAGGGTGGTAGGCAGATACTGGTGACCCCCTAGAAGAGTAGCAGAGTCAGGCAGGCCAGGTCATACATTGGCAGGACTGATCAGGTACTGGGGCACAGGCAGGAGCATGGTCAGGGTACATGCCAGGTCTTGAACCGAATAGTGAAGCAGAAGCAAATAGAGCAGGCAGAAGCAGTGGTCAGAGGTGAAGCTGAGGTTGGTGCAGGAAGAATTCAGAGAGTAGTCAGGACAAGCTGGGTCAACAACTGGAGTCAGAATACAGGATCACAGGTTCTTAGGATACACAGGAGGCTGCAGACAAAGCAGCACTGGTCTTGAGCACTGGCACAGTTTAAATAGCCCATTTGCTGCCAACATCTGTCACGAGTGCACATGAGCACACCAATGCACACATAGATTGGCATGGGTGTAAGCACCATTGTGTGTGCATATGCACGAGTGCATGTCCCCAACTTCTATGTACACAAGAAGAAACATGGATTAGCCTGTGAAGATGCTACTCCCAAATCTCACAGTGCAGGCCTACTCATCTCACTCTATTCTATCCCCTAGCAGTGCCTTGGCAGCCTTCCAGCCTTCTGACCTTCCTTCTGGAAGGAAGAGCAGGGGAAGTTGAGCATGCAATAAGATAACAACGTCATTGCTTCTGATGTAAACTTTGAGGAGGAATTGTTCCAAAATACTACCAGCTAGAGAGATCAGTGAGTTATAGTTCATTCACTATGTCAAGAAAATAACACAAAATAAATATAACACGCAGTTGGGGTAGTTTTCTCCCTTTTGATCACTCTAGCACATGTTCTTCCACAAATATTTTTTTCTATACATACCATTCTTCCTAGGTTTCATGTGAGCAGTCATGTAATCTCTTGGGACCCTCGTCAGTGGTTGATCTTCTGTGCTGCAAATATGGTTGCTCATATAGTGATGTTGTGTAGTGTTTTTCAGCCAAGAACCAGACAAAGTGTTGTTCACTTGACTTTTACTGACTGTATGCAAGATAGAAAGGTACAAAGATATACATTTACTGATCACTTTATTAGGTACACCTGTTCAATTGCTTGGTAACACAAATTGCTAATCAGCCGATCACATGGCAGCAACTCAGTGTATTTTGGCATCTAGATGTGGTGAAGGCAACTTGCTGGAGTCCAAATCAAGCATCAGAATGGGGAATAAAGGGGATTTAAGCAACTTTGAACGTATCATGGTTGTTGGTGTCAGACGGGCTGGACTATGTATTTCAAAAACTGCTGATCTACTGAGATTTTCATGCGCAGATATCTCTAGGATTTACAGAGAATTGTCCGAAAAAGAGAAAATATCCAGTGAGCTTCAGTTATGTGGATGAAAAAGCCTTGTTGATGTCAGAGGAGAATGGGTAGACTGGTTCCGCTGCTGTATGCAGATGGTAGAGTCAGAATTTGGCATAAGCAACATAAAAGCATGGATCCATCCTGCCTTGTATCAATGGTTCAGGCTGGTGGTGGTATTGGTGTGGGGAATATTTTCTTGGCAGAGGAGAATGGGCAGACTGGTTTGAAATGATAGAAAGGCAACAGTAATTCAAATAACCACTCGTTACAATCAAGTATGCAGAATACCATCTCTGAATGCACAGCACATCAAACCTTGAAGCAGATGGACTACAGCAGCAGAAGACCACACCGGGTGCCACTCCTGTCAGCTAAGAACAGGAAACGGAGGCTACAATCTCACAAGCTCACCAAAATTGGACAATAGAAGATTGGAAAAACATTTCCTGGTCTGATGAGTCTCGCTTTCCCTAGAGATGGTTGTGTGTGAAAATCCCAGTAGATCAGCAGTTTTTGAAATATTCAGACCAGCCCATCTGGTGCCAACAACCATGTCACGTTCAAAGTCACTTAAATCCTCTTTCGTCCCCATTCTGATGCTCAGTTTGAACTTCAGCAAGTCGTCTTCACCACTTCTACATGCCTAAATGCTTTCAGTTGCTGCCATGTGATTAGTTTGTGTTAACAAGCAATTGAACAGGTGTGCCAAATAAAGTGGCCGGTGAGCATATAACCGTAATAAATGGAGAGATATAGAAGGGGGTATCCAAACAGAGTAACAGGAATACTAGCGAAAATTCTTACATTTGCCCACTGGGTGGCGACACAACATAACCAGGACTATGGCGCAGGAAAAGAGTCACTGGCAAATAAACTATGGGCACATGAACTGAATCTCACAATAAACAAGCAGAAAACATTACAAAGTTCAGTGAAGGTTCTTCCATATTACAGAAGTGGCCTCTAATATGAAAAAATGTTTACTTGCACTGTCAGCTACTTGGGATATTCAATAAAATAAAGGAAATTGCAAGTAGAGTTTGTATGGTCACTGTATAGTCCTGCCCACTTCGCAATGCTGATACCTTCTTGTTGTTCAGCAAATGTGGGTGGCTCAGGACCAGTGTTGTATTTAGGTTTGTGCCGCCCTAGGCAACACAAAATTAGGCTCCCGCTCCACGGAGAGACCATGACACTGACCAACACCCCCCTCTCCAACAAAGAGAGCCTGACGTTGACCAACAACACCTCAGACCCCCAACCCACCCGAGAGAGCCTTCCACTACCACCACTCCCCCATACACTGGCAAACCCCCACCCCTGCGAGACAGAAGACACTCATCTTCACAGCTTTGGACATCCCCGGGAACAAGAGTCAGACTCTGCATACACCATAAAGCAGCCTGCAGCCTCTCTCTGATCTCACCTGGTCCCATGCTGCATGTGTCCCTTCTTCCATCCCTTCTTTTGGGGGGCGGCGCTGCCCCTTGAAAAATGCTGCTTCCCCCATGAAAGATGCCACTGCCCCCCTGAAATATGCCACCCTAGGCAAATGCCTTGTTTGCCTTGTGGTAAATACACCTCTGCTCAGGACGCAGTAAAGGGTTTGGTCTACATGGTCTCTGCAATTGAATTTTTAGGGCACTCCAGAATGTCAGGCTTTTCTGCAGAAATACTGCTTATGTGTGTAGGCGTCTGCCCGTGCCTGCCATCTAGCACATGAACTAACTTAACTCAATGGAACAACCCAAAGGATGCTTTAAAAAAAAAATGAATTCAAATTATACCTAATTACATTTTACTCTCCTATCAGGTTTCCTTGCTAATTGGGAAGTAAGCAGGATCCCTGGGGAACAACTGTCAAAACAGTCAAAACACAGGGAACAATGGGAAAGTGACTTGCTGGGTCCTCTGCTTACACCACTGAGCACATTGCCAGGACTAGTTATGATGGCTAATATGGCAAGTGCTGTGCAGTATTATCTGGCACCATTGCTTCTGGTTTGCAAATGTATGATTTTCTTGCTAGGGAAATGTCAGTGCTTGTAAAAAGATTTATTATGCAAAGCTCTGTATGGAAGAAAAAACAACCACACATCTGGCAAGCACTGTTTTATATATACAGTATAACTAGTCTAAGAGAAGCATGTAGATTGAAGCTCAAACAGCAAATATTGAGGTGCCATGAAAAATCATGTATTCACACAGAACCTCAGTGCACCTTTCATCCGCTGCATGTCAGCCGCATATTACAGGATTGTTGTGGCGGGTGTGATTTTCATGCACACCCAGATTTGTACATTGCATTCACATTCAGTAAAGTAAAAAGCTGTACACAATTTCAATGTAAGTGCAGCTCTAAAGCATAAGTGACAAGTAAAATCATGAAGTGCTTATGTGAATAGAAGTGTATCATACAATATTCAAGTGGCATATATCTAATAAACATCTCAAATCATATAAAATTATAGGATCATAAAAGTTCTAAAAATCTGAACTTAAATAGTAAATATAAATAGTCCGTGGCACTACAGGTCACAGAAGTGTCAAATGACGTCACGCCGCCGCTGCCGGAGCTCGGAGCGGCAGTCATTTTGGTATGCTTTTATGAATCATTTGTAGAATCATAAGCACTTTATGATTCTACTTGTCACTTATGCTTTAACTGTGCACTTACATTGAAATTGACTACTGTGGGTTTGTTACTTTGCCTTTTTGTGCTAGCAGCTACCTTATCTGCGCTCGCCTTATATCTTGTGTTATAAAAAGCTGTACAGCTGAGCTGATTGCTCATGTGGACTATCTAAACACAGTAGTTTGAGGAAATGAAAACTGCAGCATCTTTAATTGTCCTCTCACATACTGTAAAGATCAGCTTTGGCATATAAATCCTAATTTCACAAATAAATGCCAGATCTATATTTATCACTCTATCGGTTTGCAGTTATAGGCAACACAATCCAATCAAAACTGTTCTGGGGGCCAAGTGTAGAATGCATACGTGTGATAAGCAGGCTACAGAATGGAGGATGCCCCCGAAGAATATTGGGCAGGAAGATATACAGTATGTTACCAGGACACTAAACTTGCTTTGATACTCAACTTATGGGGAAAGCGTGACACAAACAGTACTGTCATTCTTCATTCTCCCTCCTAGATGAGTGAAGGATTGAGCCCCATACAGGGAGACTCTACAACCAAAGGATTGTTCTTGCTGAGCTGATACTACTCCATAAATGTTAACAGTGCTTCTGACAAATGTCAGAATTGGCAGATGGCTAGTATAACCCTGCTTCCAGTTATCCTTTCTTCTTGTTAACAACAAGCAAACAGAATATTGGTTAAAGTGAATCTGTCTACAAGAAAAGTAGCCAAAAAAGCTGTCTCTGCAAAGAAACAGAGTATGTACATTTCTACCTGTGCCCCCATATCCACTAATTCATGGCAGTAAGTGCTAAATGTAACGTAATGCCTAGTACACACAAGCAGAAAATCAGCTTTCGAAACGATCGTACGATACTCTGATTGTTAGTACACAGCTTTCGAGAGCCAACCTCTTGCCATCCGCCCTATAGCAGAAGTACTGCTACAGGGCGGTATGGCTGCGCAAAAGCATGTATATATACATGAATTGCATTTCCGGGTAGAGGGCATGCGCTATTGGCGGCTGGCGATTCCCAGCCACCACTCGGTGATCATTGATGAAGCTGACAGGGGAGAGACCTGTGTGTAAACAACACAGGTCTCCCTCCTGTCAGCATGGAAATGCCGCTTTGTATCTCTGCACAGCAGAGAGGTACAAAGCAGCATGTCTCCCAAGTAAAACCGCACACAATGTAGAACACGTGCAGCACACAGTTAACCCTTTGATCGCCCCAGATGTTAACCCCTTCTTGCCCAGTGTCATTATTACAGTGTCAGTGCTTTTTATTAGCACTGTTGACTGTATTAGTGTCACTGGGGATGTTAGTGGCAGTTAGTCAGTTCCCACCCAGTGTCAGAATGCCCACCATATTCGCACAGTCCCACTATAAGTTGCTAATCGCCGCCATTACTAGTATAATAAAAGAAAAAGAAAAATTCCAGTATATATACACACCACCATTCATTATTATTATTATACAGTATTTATAAAGTGCCAATAGTTCGCTCAGCGCTGTACATTACAAAGGGGGACAGAACATGTGACAGAACAATACAATGCAAAACATGAGGGGATTGAGGGCCCTGCTCTTTCGAGCTTACAATCTAGGAACATTCATAGACATTTATAGACATTATGGTGTGCGTTTATGAACCAGCGGTAATTGATCGCTGCTCAGTTCTCCGGAATTCTCAGAGAACACAGTTCTCCTGTGAATGCCTTTTATGAAGAGGTGTAGATCAGTTCTCCAAACGAAGGGAGAACGATCTACAAATGCTGGAAAACGGCTGCTTTTACTATAATCTTGCAAGATTACAGTAAAAGATCAGTTTACTAAGCAGAGGTAAATTATCTCTGCTTAGTTTGCGGTTCCTCCGATTCTCCAGCTCTGGGCTGGAGAATCTGGAGGGAGAACACAGATCGCCAGTGAAGGGCTGAACATGTTCTCCGCTCATCTCCTGAGTGTCATAAACTGTGAATAACCAGAGAATAGCTGCGATCCTCTGAATCGCAGCTATTCTCTGTGTCATAAATGGACACCTGTATCTTGCAAGTAAACCAATTAATATACAATTATTGGGATTTTTTTGCAAAGACATGTAGCAGAATACATTTTGGCCTAAATTTATGAAGAAATGTAATTTTTTACGTTTTTTTTACTGGATATGAAGTCAAAATTGTTTGTTTTTTTTTCAAAACTGTCTGTCTTTTTTCGTTTATAGCACAAAAAATAAAAATTGCAGAGGTGATCAAATACCCTGAAAGAAAGCTCTATTTTTGGGAAAAAAATGACAAATTTCATTTATGTACAGCATTGTATGACCACGTAGTTGTCAGCTAAAGCAACGCAGCGCCGTATCGCAAAAAATAGCTTGGTCAGGAAGGGGTGTAAATCCTCTAGAGGGCAAGTGGTTAAGACAGTTCATGAGAAACTATCCAAAAGGGACAAACATGAACATTTTTCTTGTATGATACCAGAACGGACGATTTTCATTTAATCAGTAAAGAATTCATCCTAAAAAAATTCAGAAGACCAAGACCATGCATGCTCAGAAACGAAAGAATACAATACATTACATCATTTCCAAAGTTGTTTTCTGTCTTACAAGAAATGTTGTACCTTTAGTAACCTCTTAATTTTCAATATGAGACTAGCTTGCAAAAAAAACCCCAAAAAAAACGGACGATCATTCGTCCAATCATGTGTACCAGGCTTTAAGCATGCAAAAGCTAATGTGGTTTGAGGCATATACTTCACATCTGTTTTAAGGTCGCAGTTGACCTTTATATTTCACACAACAACTTTCAGTACTCCTATATGGAGGCTTATTAAAATGGGGTATAGTTTGCCAACTTTCTACAAGAAAAGTGAACAGTCGCTCCTCATTTAATAAATTTGCCCCACGGTATCCACTCTTACTCAACAAGGTTCACGGTGGTAGAGGCTCACAGAGGAGGTTGTTTTTCCAAATTCAACCTGTGAATAGCTTTTGCCGCACATCCTTGATTCCTCCAAACCAGCAGTGCTTTGTGCACAGCATGCATACTATGTTTTCTAAATTTCTTTGCATCATTTACAATGTGGCATGCACAGTTAAATTATCTTTCCTATGGCACATAATATGTGTTTTTTATTCTTCACAATCCTCTTTTTATAAAACCTGAAAAAACTCACAAAAAACTGATCAAGCTCATGGGATTCTCAAAGTAAACATACACAATTCAAATTGCAATTAGGTTGCAAACGCTAAAAGCCCAAAACATCTAGGAAAATGACATGAAATCATGCTGTGAGATTTTTGTAAAGCTCCCCAATTATTATTATTATTATACAGTATTTATAAAGCGCCAATAGTTCGCTCAGCGCTGTACATTACAAAGGGGGACAGAACATGTGACAGAACAATACCAATACAATGCAAAACATGAGGGGATCAAGGGCCCCTGCTCTTTCGAGCTTACAATCTAGGAGGGAGGGGATGGTGGCACAGGAGGAGATAGCTGTGGGGGATGGAGTGGTAGAAAGAGTGGAGGGGGTCGGCAAGTTAGCAGGGGGTGGGGTAGGCTTCCCTGAAGAGATGGGTTTTCAGGGTGCGCCTAAAGGAGAGGAGAGTAGGTGATAATCTGATGGGTTGGGGCAGGGAGTTCCAGAGGATGGGTGACACCCTGGAGAAGTCCTGGAGGCGGGCAATGGGAGGAGGAGACCAGGGAACTAGAGAGAAGGAGGTCTTGTGAGGAGCGGAGTGTGCGTGCTGGGCGGTACTTGGATATTAGGTCAGTGATGTAGTTCGGGGCAGTATGGTGGACAGCTTTGTACGTTAGCGTTAGGATTTTGAATTTGATCTGTTGCGCAATCGGAAGCCAGTGGAGGGATTGGCAGAGGTGGGTGGCGGATACAGAGCGGTTGGAAAGGTGAATGAGTCTGGCAGCCGTATTCAGGATCGACTGAAGCGGGGATAGCCAGCGGCGAGGCAGGCCAGTGAGGAGGGAGTTGCAGTAGTCGAGTCGTGATATGATGAGGGAGTGGATGAGCTGTTTTAGTGGTTTCTGGGGTTAGGAACGTGCGGATTTTGGCGATGTTGCGGAGGTGGAGTCTGCACAACTTTGTTAAAGATTGGACTTGGGGTTGAAAGGATAGGTTGGAGTCCAGAATGACATCAAGTACTGGGCCTGCAGGGCGGGTTTGATGTAGCGTTGTTGGATGTGACGGAGAAGTCAATGGGGGGTGGTGTCCGGGCTGGGGGAAGACAAGAAACTCGGTTTTGGAGAGGTTCAATTTGAGGAAGTGGAGTGACATCCAGTCTGATATGTCGCTCAGTAGGTGTGTGATTCGGGCTGAGACCAAGGGGGTGAGGTGGGGGGTTTTTGAGAGATAGATTTGTGTGTCGTCGGCATAGAGGTGGTAGTTGAAGCCGTGAGAGTGTATGAGTTGGCCAAGGGAGGAGGTATAGATGGAGAAGAGAAGGGGCCCCAAGGACAGAGCCTTGAGGGACCCCAACAGAGAGGGGGAGTAAGGGGGAGGTGGTAGCATTATAGGTAACGCTGAAGGAGCGTTGTGACAGGTAGGATGAGAGCCAGGAGAGAGCAGAATCTCTGAGGCCGAGGGAGTGTAGTTTTTTGAGGAGGAGGGGGTGGTCGACTGTGTCGAAGGCCGCAGAGAGGTCAAGGAGTAGTAGCACTGAATAGTGGCCATTAGCTTTGGCGGGTTAGCAGGTCGTTGGAGAGTTTGAGTAAGGCAGTTTCGGTGGAGTGTAGGGGACGGAAGCCGGACTGTAGGGGATCGAGGAGGTTGTTGTCGTTGAGGTGAGAGCATAGGCGGGTGTAGACTAGGCGCTCGAGGAGTTTAGATGTAAAATGGGAGCAGGGAGATGGGTCTGAGGTTGTTCGGGTCATTAGGGTCCAGGGAGGACTTTTTAAGTATGGGGGTGATGTATGCATGTTTCAGAGGGGAGGGGAAGGTGCCGGAGGAGAGGGGAGAGATTGAAGATGTGGGTGAGGGAGCGTAGGATGGAGGGGGAAGGAGGTCGTAGGAGTTGTGAGGGGATAGGGTCAAGGGGGCAGGTGGTGAGGCAGGCATCAGAGAGGATCTTGGAGACTTCCTCGATGGTAGTAAGGTCAAAGGTGCAGAGTGTTGGGGGGAGCTTCAGTATGAGGAATGTAGGGTGGGGTGGAAGAGGAGGTCAGAGCAGTGGTGGGGCCGTGGGAGAGGGGTGATGAGGGGGTAGCTGAGTGAGGGTGAAGGGGGTTGGAGAGAGTTTGAGCAGCGACGAAGTCCCTGCAGGTTATGTCGAGGGGAAGGGGGGATAAGGGGTAGCTGTGTGAGAGGGGACGGGTTGAGAGGGCGTGTGAGTTGTGGCAATGTCCTTGCGAATTGTGTCAATCTTGTTTTTTTTGAAGTGATTGGCAATCTCAAGGGCAGTCAGTGAGGTGCTGGGTGGAGGTGGGGGTGGAGAGAGTAGAGTGTTGAAGGCGGAGAAGAGTCGGCGAGGATTGGAGGAGAGGGCTTTGATGAGGGTCAAGAAGTAGGCCTGTTTGGCAGCATGGAGGGAGGAGGTGTAGGTGTGGAAGGCAGATTTGTAGCGGTGAAGGCTTGTTGGGATTTGGTTTTGCGCCATAGTCGCGCTCCAGGGCACGACTGTGTCGTTTGAGGGTTTTGGTGTGATCAGTCTGCCAAGGCCGGGGTCTGATGTTGCGTGTGGTTAAAGGCGCTAGTGAGTCAAGGGCTGTTGAGAGCGTGTTGTTGTAGGCGGTCATAGCCAAGTCGGGGCAGGACAGGGGGAGGATGCTGTCATAGAGATGATCAGCTGCAGAGTGGAGGGGGGGCAGGGTTAAGGTTGCGGAGATTACGGCTGGTAGTAGTGTGACATTTGGAGGGGTAGGCGTTGGAGGACGAGGAGATAGAGAAGGTAATCAGGTTGTGGTCAGAGAGAGGGAAGGGGGTGTTAGTGAGGTTGTGGGGTAGCGCAGCGGTTGGAGAAGACAAGATCAAGGATATTACCGTTGGAGTGGGTGGTGGATTGTATGCACTGTGCAAGTGTAAAGGAGGAGGTTAAGTGGAGGAGACGGGCTGTGTCTGGGTTGTCGAGGTTTACAGGGATGTTGAAATCCCCAAGGATGATGGAGGGTAGCTCAGAGGGAGAGGAAGAAGGGTAGCCAGGAGGAGAAGTCATCCAGGAAGCGGGGTATGGATCCAGGAGGCCGGTATATCACAGCAATCTTCAGGGGGGTTGGGGAGAATAGTCGGACGCAGTGGGCCTCGAAGGAGGAGAAGGATATAGAGGGGGGGGGGGTTTGGGAGGTCTCTGAAGGTGCTCTGCGGTGACAGGAGCAGACCAACCCCACCACCTTTACGACTGTTATGCCTGGGTGAGTGGGTCCAGGTGAGACCTC